TATATTGTCACTGAAAAATAAAAGTTTTCAATCATTGTGCAAATGGTTTTGATTCAGTGGGAACATCACATATAAAATTAAAAGGAATGAAATACTTCACTGCGTCAAGGTAAAAGACAAAACAATAAATCAGAGCATTGTATTTTCTCCTCTCTTCATATTTGTCTGCCATCTACATTCCGGCAGGGCAACAGACATCTTCGCCCATTTTCGGCATGTTGACCACTGTCAGAGGGCAACAATATATTTTTTTTCTTCCAAAATCAGACGAAAATTAATGCGCGCTGATGTCATCCATAAAAATTACTTGCTGTGGCCTTATGTAGGGGGGGTCTCCTGGGTGTGTTGGAACAGTCCAATTAGCCCACTAATTGCCAAACTGGAAACCTAGGTTTGGTTAGAGTTTACTCTGTCCATATCTTCAGATCTGCTGGAGAGATATGTGGGTAATGAGGTCGAAAATAACATTTAGCGAAGCTGTTTGTGTTACGCCAATTATGTAAGTTTGTTATCATATCACTGCCCTGGACTAGAATCTGTTCCCTGGATTTGTTTATAATATCATTGGAAAAAAAGAAGTATTTTTAGCAAATGAAGGTGCAGTATGGTATTTTTTAGCCAGTCAGTAATAAGCCCCCAAGTGGCAAAATTTCAAAGTACAAAATTTCAATTGCTGCCACAAATTGATGAGTTTTTTTTTTTGTATTTGTGTGCAATATTTTGCTTCAATGAGATATCCAAGCATGTGTTTATTCTGGTAACATTATTGCCTACATGGTTACATAGTGGGCACATAATAACCTGAAAGGATTCAGATGATTTTTTAATTTTTTAGATGTTCAAGGTGCTATTTATATTAAAGCTTACGACCTTGCTCAAGTGTGTTTGAAGTGCTGACATCTGTCAATCGTCCATCAAGCCTGCCAGGGTCCATGTAGTGTTTCTGCCCATATTTCACTGGGAAGGTGACAACTGTTAGCAGGTGTGGTGAAGTTTCAACACCCCCTGCATGCAGTCTGGGGTTTGAAGTAGAATTATGTCTTGCAATGGAAAAAACAGGCACAATTTGTTATAATCTTTTTCTCGTAGGCTCCGTGGTCAGAGTTTTGATGCTGTGTTTCTTTGTTTGGTTGTTTACTTATTGTTTTGCTGTTGCAACAGGACATGGTAGCTAAAGGGGAAAATGATATGCTTGGATTTTGTAGTTTTTTCTGCCACCTTGTTTGAAGGTTCAGTGCCAGAAGAGAGAGGCATATCATCAGGTAAATTAGCAGTCTTTGTAGTTGTTCTAGGTCAGAGGTGGGGGGTCATTGACACACATGTTTTGTGCTTTCAGAAAACCCCTCACAAAAGACACAATGAGGTCATTTTAGAGAATTTCTACAGCATTTTTTGTCTCATAAGTTTAGCTTCTCTACATACATAAACTGAAAACTCCCAAGGAATATTTCATATTTGTAGATTGTTCCATATAGGCATTGTGCTGTATGTAACTTACCCTGGGAATGTCTATTGTTTTGGCACAGTTGAATTGTTTTCCAGAGTATATCATATTTTAGTTCCCACAGTCTTTTGTAAAGTAGATGCATGAGCACATACGCATTACCAAGGTTCGTGGGAAATTTGACCCATTCTTGGTCTATTGCTAATGGATTAGAGAATTACCAAAATTATCACTAGTGAAACTGCCACTCTTTTCCCCTAACCTTGGTCCTTTGTCAAGATTTGGTTCAGCTTTCAAATGGACTAGCATTATGCAGAAACACACACACACATACACACGCACACAGACATACCCAAAACAATACCTCCATTTTTCATGGACTCATGCCATGGAGGTCATAAGAAGAAAGTGTAAAAGCTCCATGTCCTACAGTGTCAAATGTGTACTTCTTGGCTGTTCTTACAAGTGGTACAGATTAAACTCTAGCTTGTCTGTCCACCAGCAGGAATGTTTAGATGGGAGGAAACCCAAACAAACCATGGTGTCCAACAGGACTGAAGTAGTGACTCCCCCCTTGTCAAACCTGCTGGGAAAGTTGCATTTCTCACAAACTTCTCTCAACACCTCATCTATCAGATATAGAGTCCTGGACAAGCTCTGAAAAAATCACTCAGATATGCAGTTTTTGATGGCATACATTTTGGTGGGCAATCTCTTAGGTCCCAAAACATGTACACACGTGTCTTCAGACTTGTCAACATTTTGTTCCATAAGAAAGGTTATCTATAAGTATTATGTAGTGGGTTATCATATCACCTGTCAAAAGGTCATAAGAATATTGTTTTCTCAGAAAATGTCTTGTTGTTTCAAAGACCTTGAAATAAAACAAGAAAAACTTCATGAGAAGGGATTTACTTGGAGTGCCTTGTGGACAAGGAAGGAAGGCTTTTTTGATACCACACTTTCTGAAAAAGGCTGTCTTTTTTCATTGTTGTCAATATCGTAGCTTCACTAGTGCATTCAATGTGGAAGAGTTGGGGAGGGGGGGTGGGGAGGGGGGGGCAGGGGTCATGTACTTGTGTATAGGTTCCATCTTGAAGCACTGACTGCTTGACACATTGTATGCCAAAACAAGATACCCTAAGCTCTTTTTTCATCAAATATTAGGTGTTAGGGATCCTAATAAGACATGTGATATATGTAACTAGTGGTTGGTAACAGAGTGCTACAGATAGAAAGTTAACATCTGGATGCTAGCATGCTAATCGTAACCTGTGCTATGTGTATGTAAGTTACAAATGTCAGAGGTGAGGTGTGTTGTTCATTTCACACTTAGCTGAATAGTCTTGGTCTAAAACTGCACGTAAATAACGTACATGTATATTGTACTGCGGTTTGAACCTTATGTACACTTGCGTAAAGCAAACCCAGGACTTAAAGTCATCAAGATATTGTACATACATGTAGTTACAAGGTATGATAACAGTCTTAAAGGGTTGGGGCCACTGAACTTGTTATTGTAAGTGAAATTGTATCCCTCGGTTACACATGACCCAATGATAATTGTTTGAGTGATGTCATGGCACGCGAATGCACAACATCAAAATGGCAGTCTACCTGTTACCCCTGTTGGTTGACAACTTGACTTTGGGACAAAGCTCCACATTCCAGCCATATCACGTTGTTGTCAACCTGTGTCTAAAGTGTCGGATAATGCGATTGCTGAGAACAAATTAGTGGAACGTTAGTAAGCTCCAGTTAGCCCCTGTCGCTTGTGTTATCCTGTCCATTGTTCCAACCTTCTACATACGTTGTGCCTTATGAGGACATGTTGACAAGTTAGCAGGGCCTGCTGCTCAACCTGCATTCCTATAGATAGCACTTCTGGTCTTTCATGTTGGTTATGCTCTTTATGTATCTTGCTTGACATTCTTTTTTATGGGGAAAAAAACACACATTTTACCTGATCAGAAGATTTATTTGGTATTTATAAATTGAGGTATAATTTGTGTCAGTCTGTTCAAATTGTGGTCTTTTTTTTTATGTCAATAAGGAAGTTACTAAGTACACCCATGGCATGTGAGCTACAGAAACTTGGAAATGTTCCTATCTGTGAGTGTTCTGTCCAATAATGGTTGTAACTTTGTAAGAGAGCCAAGTTCTAGGCTTCAACATGTGTATAGTTACCAGGTACATAAGTGTATATGTTATAGTTTAAGTTCCAAGAGAATTTCATCCAAACTTAGAAGAAATGGAACGATAGCCTGCAAACATTTGTAGGTAGCGAAGCAAAGCCAAACAAATGTGACCTCCCCGGCACTGTAGTGTTACCCCAGACATTCCTGGGAAGAAGCAGCTATTGCCTTACAAGGAATCCAAACTGTAGGTTGCCATTTGAGCCATGTAAAGGTCAGATCATCTGGAACCAGTAGACACCCTAAGCAGACAAGTATGGCCAGGCGGTGGCTCCTGTATGTGTGAAATGTTGATTGGCCCTGGGGCATTGCACACCTTTGAGTCAAACTCTTCCCAGCAGAGGCTATGAACTGTAGGTCCTACACTGTAGCGATAAGGTTGACCAAACCAAATCGGCTATGCAGTTCTAGTGTTTGTCAAGAGAGAACAAACAACTACTTCTGGCATGGGACTTAATACATAGTATGAATACATGAATATAGCACATGAAAGTAACAAAACGAAGAGTCAACTCCATGACTATTTATAGCAAAGAAACAGCCTTTTGTTTCAAATGACTTCTATCTTACTTTTCTGTCTCTTACAATACTCAAGAATGCTTTGTTTGACCTTGGAAACTCTTGACATTGTCTGACCCCACCTGGAGAAGCTTAATGGATTAGACACAAGTTTGTAATCAAACTGGGTTTGGCACTTTCCCTGGTAATTTGGATGTCACACCCACCAGACTGTTAGGCTTTACATGTGGAGTTGATAAAGATATCTAGGAATTCAGAGGATGTGGTTTGGGCGCTGTGCACTTGGTTGTTGTTGTTGGTGTGGTGGCACTGTGCACTTGGTATGGGGGTCTCTCAATCAGAACATCCCAACATGCTTGTGCTCATGTGAAGATACAGTATGGAGAGTTCAATTAAACAATAGACAATGTTTGTCATGCAGAATGTATATGTAGAGGGAAGTGCTGTAAGTGTAATTGTGATCTTGTATGTTATAATTTTCTTTGAAGAATGTAGCATGCCAATATACCTTTGCAATGGTGGCAAGTTCTTTCTTTTGGCTATATTTGAATGGTTTAAGATGATGTCGATATTTGAGGAAACTATCGTCTAATTTCTGTTCCCTCCGTAGAACTATTTGTATGAGGGCCGCCGATTACGAATTACGTCAAAGACTCAGAGCTGATTACGACTTTACGTTTTGTGGCTAATGTACTATTACGAATGATGTTGAATTTGTGGGAGGCCTATGGATTACGAAGACTAAAAAGGCCTGACGGAAAAGGGCATGCAGGCCCCCTTGTATGTTTTAGATGATGTTGATATTTGGGGAAATTAACGTCTTATTTTTATTCCATGTGCAGAACGTCCTTGCCAAGGCGCTGTATGACAACATCCCGGAGACTCCAGACGAGCTGGGGTTCCGTAAAGGCGACATTGTGACGGTGCTGGAACAGAACACGCAGGGCCTGGAGGGATGGTGGCTCTGCTCGCTGCACGGGCGCCAGGGCATCGCCCCCGGCAACCGCATGAAGCTCCTGGCGGGGATGTACGACAAGCCGTTCTCTCCGACCCCACAACAACAGCCGCAACAGCCGCTGTACCAGACACCGGCAAAGGCAGCCGGGTACCAAGTGCCTCCCTCTCACCAGTACCAGTCCCCTCCCTCACACCAACCTCTGTACAAGGTGCCCAGCTCAGGGGGTAGCTACTCCACCCCCTCCCCCTTCTCCCCCTACTCCACCCCCTCCCCACATGCAGTATACAACGTGCCGACGTCCCACGGCGGGTTCGCCTCCACGTACCAGGTTCCGCCGAGCTCCGCGGGGTACCAGGTGCCGCCGGCAGCGCCGGGATACGGTTACCCCGGACAGCAGACAAGCCCCGGTTACCAGGTCCTGCCGGGCGCTGTCCGAGAACAGAACTACCAGGTCCCACCCTCCCTACAGAGGCAGAGAAACTCAGCCACTAACATCAATACAAACAAGGTACGCTACAAATTTTCACTTTCTTTTGTTTTCTTAACTCTGTATATCCTCAACATACTTCTTTATTCCAAACGTGAAATTTTTTCTGTCATGTCTTCAAACTGTTTGAAAACCCCTTTAAAACAACTCCCAATTTACAGTAATGTTTTATTGCAAATTCATGACGCTGAGGGATAATTGCAGGAACAGAAGAAGCATTTGGTATAAAAAACAGTTAGTACACATAGAACTACTTATAACTACTAAGAAACTACTACTGAAAAACTACTGGGTTTGACTTCTTTTTTGAAGGCAGAGGAAGACAAAGGATCCAACTTTTTTTACAATAATCTTGGAACTGTAAGCTTACAAGTATTTTCCTGAAAGTTGAAAGACTTTTCCCAGACCAACAGTGTTGAAGTAAGACACAGAGAGAAAATAGCCATACGTCCAAACATGATAGCCTCCATAGCATGCCAAAAACTGGAGGGTTTGGGGGTCTTCAGGGTCTTTGGGAGCTTTTATGTGCTATTTTCTGATTGCATATAGACAACACAGCTGGCCTGGTTGATTTACCCCCGTTTTTTGAACTGGGCTAATCAGAAAACAGCCGAAGACCACCAAACCCCCAGTTCTATAAGCCTGCTACGGAGGCTACAAACATGAGGAGCCCAGCCCCACTAACTGACTAGATCAGGAAACAGGGAGAGATAAAAGGCCTGTCTGTGCCACTGCTAATGGAAGCTGTTAAAGGCCTTGGTATGAAGAATGGGAAAATCAATTTTTACCGGCCCCAATCGATCAGACACAGGTGGAAGGGACTGACCCTCTGACACAGCCAACACTTGTCTCCCAACATGGCATCAGCAAGGCCACGCAAATTTATCTATTTGGTCTTGGACATTTTATTGAAAAGACAAGAGAAATGAGAAAGGCAACATTTGCAAAGCAAATGCATAATGTTAACCTTTGCATATGGTCTGCTCTTTTAATTCTTACTCAAACACATTCATATGTATGATCATACAGGAGTGTAAATCCCTCCTACTGTAAAATTGCAACATTATGTAACCCAACACCAGTTACCATGGTGAGAGATGTCAACAAATCAGGTCATTGGCCAGGTCAGAGGTCAGTGTTTGGAACGGAAAAAGAAGAAGAAGAGGAAACGTAGCAAAAACAATATATTTTCCTGCGGTTAACATAATGGGATGAAAACAAGAGCTAACAACAGTCTTTATCTCCAATAAAATTTCCTTCCTGAGCTAGCCTTTTGGCATCAGGTTTGCATTAGTTACAGAGCAATGTAGCATGGTGATGGTTCAAAATTGACAATAGATAAACTGAAATTGAAAAGGACAGTTATACGAGAAGCTGTATTGATGCAACAAAAAGTACAGTGACTTTCATATGGCCAACTGTAAACCAGAAATGCAAAATGTAAGGAAATGTAAATTATACTGCCAGGTATCAATTCTCAAAGGGGTGGTGGAATGGTATATGCCATGCTGTGGAATATGTTGTAGGTAAGCATTAGAAGAAGGGACTGTAGACAGAGATGGATAGGTGTAGGTTGCAGCAAATTGAAAAGTGAATTGAGTCGGGCGGATGTTGACTGATCAGGAATTAGCGGTGATGATGGCCATTGATTTTTTACTCACCTTCCAGGTACCCTCTAATACAGAAATACATGTGCTCAATAGAGAACACTTCTAAAGCCTGTTGTATATCTTACCCCCTAATGCGGGACTAACAGTTGTTTTATGGGACAAAATGATCAAGCTGAAATAGATGGAAGAGGAAGATCGAGCAGTTACATCAATCGAAAGATGGAGGAATAGCAATAGTCAAAAGGAAGAAGTCTAACGTGTAAAATGGTGATTTACATGAAATTTTTATGAACCATTTAGTCTAAATATCATAAGCTATCTGGATTGGCACTTACTTGATAACCAATACAAAGTACTGCACAATTACTGAATCCATGTACCCTCAACCATAAACTTGATGTCTCATTTAGACTTGATTCCTGTAACAGTTGAGTTAGCAAGAGTTACAGAATAATTGACAGGAAGAGAGAAACTGGAGGCAAATTAGTTATTTCCTTACCATTGGGTGTCCTGAATGTCGGAGGTAATTGGGTTAGAAAGGCTCTCATCGCGTAAAGTTGAGGTACAAGTCAATAGGAGAAGCTCCATGCAAGACCTAATGGACTTTCCAATACTGGCTTTGCACTGAAAACACCCATCATCAATTTGTAGATTATGGGGAGGGTCTTTCTGAAATCATTCTTCAGCAACACTGCAATTTTTTTTCGTTTGTTGATAGGTAATATATGTACAGGATGGGGAAATCTTACCTGGAAGGTAAATTTATGAAGGGATGTATTTTGGGAAAGCTTCTGACAGAAAATTTTTGAGAACGGCTTTCATCATATACATGTAGTACTTGGGAATTAAGGAAATGCCCATATGTTTTCCTGGAATTATTTGAGCGCACACAGTGTTGTTGTGCCGGTTGAAAGACTTCTTTGAGTGCGTACAATTTACCTGAAGTTCCGATTGCTGCAATAAACACGGCACTGCCAAAGGTGTAACCCACGCCTCTGCCAAAGGTGAATTGGTTCTAGCAAATATCAGAAGAGGCTGGGGGGGGGGGTACTGCCAGGATATAGAAGAACTTTATTGCACGACAATTGTACAGGGTACATTGTATGGCAAATAGGTAACAATAAGTAGCATAGTAAAATAGATAGGTATAGAATAAAACTTAACAACTTATATATAGAAAAGAAATAATCAAAAGTTAGCTTAGGCTTTACAATCAGGCAGAGTTATCTATGGGTACATGTGACAGCAAATCAGTATTCTAATTCTAATAACAAAACAGTCTTTTATGTATTTACCTATTTTTGCATTGTGTGGGCTGTTGCATTTAGATATATAATCAAATCTATCTGTAGCAACAAGTCTATTGAAATCTGTCACATTTGAAGTACCATAACCTCCTACCAGAGACCCTGACACACCTCATGTCACGTTGTCAGTCACCAGACAACTGTAAATCTTTCTACATTCTCCATACCAGATATGGAGCAGTGCAGGCCCTTTTAGTTTCCAGGTCAGTTCCCCCTGAACTTCAGTTCTGTTTGTTTTGCTGGTGAAATATGGTGGTGTTGGGTGGGAGGCCAAGGTTAGCCGGTTGTGAACAGGGTTGCCCTGGCTGTGTGCTGTGGGACCATGTGACAGGACATTGACAGTGACATATGCAGGAGGTGGCAGGAAGGGGCAGTCAAATGGACCAGGGGTCACATTTCTCACAGGCTGGTCCAAATCAGTAGTCTGGTAGCCAGGTTTGCAGAATCCCTCTACGTAGCTACTTAGGCCACAGCAAGTAAATTTTATGGATGACAGCCTCCATAGATTCCAAATCTAATGCGAGCGGGCGGGAAAAAAGCAAGGTTCCTACATTTTTAAATTTTTACTCAATCATTGTACAAATGGTTTTGCTTCAGTGGGAACATCACATATACACAGCCAACATCACATATCACTGCATATAAGTAAGAAACAAAACATTTAATCAGAGCCTTTGCTTATCCACCTTCTGGCATGGCTACAGACATCTTTGCCCATTTTCGGCATGTTCACTACTGTCAGAGGGCAACAAATTTTTTTTTTCCAAAATCAGGCGAAAATTGATGCGCGCTCTGATGTCATCCATAAAAATTACTTGCTGTGGCCTTACCAACAGTCTCTACCATTCACCTGGCGAAGTTTGGGAACAGACTGAAGCTGAACATGACTGGATATCAGGCTAATAAATTAGGAGCCCCTAAAAAAATGCTGCATGCTGCATCATATTTCTGACTTTCTTATAACGCAGCAATTATTATAGATATCTTTGGTAAAACAGGAAAAATCTGTCACTCGACCACGTGTCAAATGCACCACACAAAAAAAATCAGATGAGCCCTTGCGAATCAATAGTCTGGCACCCACAGGGCACTTATACATTATTCAGTATGAAGAAAGCTCTAGATTGTGGATGAGTATTTGACAGGGTCTGTACCAAAATAAGCATGATTGAAAAGATGTATTTTCCCTACAGTCTTTGTTATCATTCTGAGACCAATATAGCAAGCTATGTCACTCATTGTGCTGTCTAAACAAGGGATTTATTTGAAGCCAGGAAAGGTAGTCAACTGTATACACCCTGGTCATGCGGATATACCAGGGTGAAAGAACCCAGTGGGTCTGGGTCGCTAACAATGCAGACTGCAGTCATGGTTACTAGTGTAAGTTAGAAGGGATATTATATTCAATAGGAGTGTGACCTAAATCTGAAACACTGTTACAATACTGTCTCTACAGCAAGGGTCTAAAATTAGAACATCCTTGCTTTACGTGATTTGAAGACTTTGCAGTACTCTCCACTAGACTCTTTCAGGGTGGATTCAGTGGTAAAATGAGGGGAAAATAGGTTGTTTGTGTGGAGAGGTTTTCCCTGCTAAAGAAGGTTCAGTTTGCTGATGACATCTAACCAAGCTTTTGTGCTCTTTTGGCCCATCCTAAAAAGAGTCTGAAGACTAATTCAAAAGCCTTGTAAAATGACAAATAAAGTACAGTATAACTATTCTTCAGGAGTTTTCTTTTCACCCTTTTCTAATGACATCTTGGCAACTCTACAATCAATTAATCTAATTATCAATCAATCAATCAACATCAGTCTAATAATCAGAAATTCAGAGTGCACAGGAGACATCACAAGTATACAAGAACCACACCCATCAAAGGTCATGACCTTAGCTGAAACAAGTTCATTTCATCCAGGAGATTTTGAAACGCAGCTTTAGTTTCCAACTGACTCTAAAGCTGCATACACTACCTTTTCAAAGTTTATTTTCCAACATCCATCATACTGTAATTCACTTCATGTTCACGGTAGCAAAATTTTACGGTCTGAGAAAAATGGAGGTGTTCACAGAACTATATATTCACAGTGGTGACAAGTGCAGGAAA